TAATTCTTATTGTTGTAATATCCTTGTTGCAATTATTATTGATATAATGTCTATAAATGCCTCTGTTATAATAAATTAGATAGTTAGCTTAGTGCCCCCTTAGTAGTCAATTAGCTTAGTAGTTAGCTAGTTTAATTCATTTATTCGAATTTGTAATAATTAGTTAAAAATCGGACATTCGGACACTTATTCGCACCCTCTTGCATGAGGAAAAATATATAATAATGCGTGTATGTCTTCCAAACCCCATTTCTTTCTCCCTTTTATTTACCCGTTTATGATGGTAGCATAGAACATCATGTTTCTTTAGCATTCCCATGTTTGCATACACTCGTCTCACATACATTTGGGTTCGGCTTATCATGCTAACCAATGTCAATTTTAACTTCATTGTTTGAATACATGCTTGTATCATATGTCTTGAATTGAATCATATACCATGCTCATAGTTTCTAATCATTTTTCTTTATTTGGTTTGCCTTGGAGTACTAAGTGAGCACTTATTGTTTTTAGCATACCGCATAAGTGTGATTGTTGCCATGCCAAGCATAATACTATGAGGCTAAATGCTTAAGTGATATACTTGTTTGAATGCCGGTGGATGAAGGTTAATTGCTCAAATTGGAATAAATTGATTAATGTGCATACAAACTCACATTTTCAAGTGGCGAGTATCAAAAATAATTTTCAAACAAACACAAAACCAAAATATTTCAACTTTTGCAAATTAGTCTATACTTGTATGCATCACATAGTAAATTAGCTAATAATCGGAACAACAGCATATAATGTACATAAAAATCATATCATGATCAGTAGAGGCCAATCTTTGATCGAGTGAGTGGGGTGCTCAATTCATGACCTTCCTCTCTCGTACCTAAGTTCCCAAGCCGAGACACTTTGATGACGACGGATAAGTAGCCTTTGGCACAAGTCACGAGTTTCCTAAATTTTTCAAAAATATTTAGGTGGCGATTCTGTAATTTGACAAAACAGTCTATTTTTGGTATTTGATTCAAACATCGATTTTTCAAAAAGAATTGCCGGATTTGGACTCTTTTTGTGTTTTCATTGTTTCACATTACACTTGTGAAATCAAATTTAGAACCACGGGAGTCCGAACTGTAGGGCTAGTCGTATTCGAAAGGAGCACGAAAGCAAATTACAATTATGTATATGTTGTGACGCTCCAAAATTTAAAGACATCATAATAAGATTTAAAACTTAAAATCAATGTTGCCACCAATATTACTAACATCCATTAATTAACAATCCAGAAATTGAAAGTTCTTAAATTACAACTCCAATAAAACTTAAAACTTAGTCTCAGTACATAAAAAAAAAATAACACAAATATAAAAAAGAAAACAGAGAAAAACTAGAAAAAATAAAAAATAAAAAAAATAAATAAATAAATAAATAAATAAAACTTAGAAAATGGTTCATGGAACTTGGGCACTCTTCAAGCTAACCAAGGCTGAATGTCGCCTTGCAAGGCCTCGTTGTTTCCTTTGGTTTCTTCGGTACCTGGATAAAAGGCCAGGGCAACGGAAATGTCCATGAGCGACGAGCTCAATAAGATATTGCAACCCGAAAATACCCACCCCGATAATAATACTCACAATTAATGAATAATATGTAGTAAAAGAATAACAAGTAGCATTTAATAAGCATAATAGGAATGCTATCAGTTGAAATAATAACAATAGATAATAAAAAAACAATGGCAAACGGAAGCAGTATTTTATCATTAGGAAAATGTCCACTTTTCTTTTTAAATTCTCATAGATTTAGTTTATCAGATAAATTTAAGTAACTTCCCGCGAAGCACTATTTCCACTCAACCGCTAAGCAATGGTCACGGGCAATTCTGACTCCCCCTTAGTCAAATATTCAAATATTACTTGTTGTAACTACCAATGATGCCCATGCACCAGGGTTACATACCCAAGTCGTGACATCACGGTCTGGCCCAAGGGAACGGTTTATGTTGTGACACCCGCACCACCAACCTTTTATCGCCTACACCGATAAGAGCCGAAATATCTTCCCGTGCCATGTTAGGGTTCACAACTCACTTGCGCAATATTCTAAACTGGGCTTACCCCATCACTTTTAAATTTTAATGTATCATCGGTTCAATTTCGTGTTTCTTTACTTCGTCGAGTTTACATTTTGATGCATGTGGGAGTTTTAGTTTGAAAACCACAGTGACATAATGTTTATATAGCACAACACAATCATGTATGATAACCAAAATAAATATGATACAATGTCTTAGGAATCATCACAAAATTTCTTAAGAATTTACACACTTCTTCTTTCAGCACTGTATGGTCAGAGAAAAAAATATGAAACCCATACCAAACGAAGTTCAACCATTACAATATTTGAACTGGTGCTATTTCATCGAGTTAGGAAAATATTTCGAGAAGAATACCAAAAACGATTTTAAAATGGAGAAATAAATTTTGGAAAAAAACTGGTTTTTCTGGGACAGTGAGTTACATTAACTTCCAGCACAGGTGATCTGTGTTTGAAAAATAAAAAGAAGTCTCAAACAGTGTCAAAAAGAGATATGGTCAGAACAACTTGCTAAGTATTTGAGTTTAGAACATATTTCCAAAAGAGTTTGAAGACTAAAACCCAATGGGAGATGGTCAAATAATTTTTCTTAGAAAACTAGACAGATTCTATCACATTTTGGAAAAATTGATGTTTCTCTCTCAATACTTAATAGAAAAATTATGAAACCAGCAGTATTTGAAAGGTAACTTAAAAATCTAAATTTTCCAATTTGAATCACTTGAAAACTCATTCTGTAGAATAAACGGTGACCTAGTAAAGTCAGCATTGCTGCTGCCTCCAAACAGCAATGATGTTAAAAATATGTTTTGGCCACGAAACGTTGTCAAATAATTTTTTTTTCTCGATACTCTGGCACCATGAAAACATGTTAAACTAACTCCAGTAGTTTCAGATTTTATGAAAGTGTTCTCATTAGTTTGTTTGAGTTTATTCAAAATGGATTAAAAATCTGCTTTGTTGGAAGTTCATTATTTTGTGAAAAAATACACTTTTGTATTCACCATGAATCATACGCAAGACTATAAAAATTATTTCTTATTACTATTTCCATGTGAAACTTTAATCCTTCATATTTACCTTGATTAATGGGAACAGGGAATAGATGGAAATAATATTTATGAAGAGTGAACACAAATTCATAAGCATGCAAGATTATTTCAAACAATAGAGAATATTTGAGCACATAAGAAGATAAAATCAATAGCTAAACCATCTAATCTATGCTTATAAGAAGAATAAAAATCACATAATCATAAGATTATCATTCTATCAAAATGTATACATACATTGAATTATTATTGCTATGTGTGTATTAACAATATACACTCTTGCATATTTTTGATACATAGATTCAGTTAAAAAAAAATATATCTAAGGAAGGATAGGGGTTGAGTATTCTTACCTCAAGAGTTTTTACAAACAATTCTCAAAACTAGTTTTAAATTGGTAACCACCAAGCACCCTCTATTCTTCCTCTCTTTTTCTTTTCTTTTCTACTCTTCCTCTCTTTTTCTTTTCCTCAGTCGTGGAAATGAAAAAGGAGTGAATAGTGCTCTATATATAGGAGCTTGGAGACAAAAAAAAAAAATTTTTTAATTTTTTTTTTCTCTTGGCTTGGAATTATCATCTATATGTATAGGCTTTAGAGTATGCTTTTTTTATGCATACCTTGGCATGCTTTGACAGCAGCCTCTTGGGAAAAAAGACAATCGAATTCCTCTGTCCAAAACAAATCTAATTTCCTCTTTTTTTGTTTTTGTTTTTGTTTTGTTTTTTGTTTTTTTTTTTTTTTTGTATACAAAATAAAAATCAATGAATATATATAACTTAGTCACTAGATGTTTTACTATCTACTATCCTTTGATTAATTTAGTTACTATTTATTTAAGGAGTATAGGTCCTAATAAGTGGACTTATTGTCTAATAGGTCCTATGAAAAAAATTTATCATAAAAAAAAGTCACTAATTGTAAGTTTTTGTGACAATTTATAAAAATTATAACAAAAAAGTCACTAATTGTCAATTTTTAGCGACGTATACAAAAAATTATCACAAAAAAATTATTTTTAAAGATAATTTTATCAAGACTTATTTTCAATAAGACTTGGTGAGAATTAAGTCCAATTATTAGGACCTATTGGTAGTTTACCCTTTAACTTATTTAGTTTCCACAACTGTATTTAGCTACATAAATTTTATCACAGAAAGATAAATAATTTTATTTAAAAGAATTTAATATTGATATTAATCATGATACTATTAACATTATAATTTGATAATTTAATAATTTAATAATCACTCTTAATTGACAATATGGTTATTAACAAACTTAATTAGTTGTCCAAAAATTCAAATTCTTACTGATGTTTATGTAGTATTTTTGACCAACAACATAACAAAATTTTGTGTAAATTACACAGGGTAGGTTTAAAAACTTTTTTTTTTTGTATAAATTTTCGACCAACCCCAGTGCGACACGTCACTGGGGGTCGTCAGTGGGGGTCATCCCACTGGGGGTTTGTAACATGGCCCTTGATATTAATCATGATACTATTAACATTATAATTCGATAATTTAATAATTTAATAATTTAATAATCACTCTTAATTGACAATATGGTTATTAACAAACTTAATTAGTTGTCCAAAAATTCAAATTCTTACATATACAATATCAAGTACTGATGTTTATGTAGTATTTTTGACCAACAACATAACAAATTTTTGTGTAAATTACACAGGGTAGGTTTAAAAAAAATACAAGTCCTACAATTATAACACAATTACATTGAATTCTTTTGAAGTTTAAATTTATATAACACTTATTAACTTCATTTTTATCAATAAAATGAATGGAAAAAGGAGAACCAACTTTAAAGTGCATCAGATTCAGGCATTAGCCTGGTGTGTCACTAAAAATAAATAAATCTTCAGAAATTATCTAACATTATATTCCAGGAAAATTCAAACAAGAAGACAAATTTGTTCAAATTGAGTGCCTTGTCAAGGACATTTCAGGAAAACATAAGCATCATTCTAACTATGACCACTAAATTTAAAAAAGTGGAACAGCCCCTCTTAATTGAACAATGACTGGTTAAGTACTCACCGAGAAAAAAAAAAAAACCTAGTAGTAGAAAAGAGAAGGCAATATGATTCGCAAGAACATTGACAGCCTTGTCCACTGATAATTTGCAGATTCGGAGTACTCTTTAAATTACCGACATCCTCTAATACCATAACGAACTGGAAATGTATGTACTTCGTTGGCATAAATATGAAAACCCAAAGCTATACCAACTGCAATTACGATGACCATCAAAGTCCCCTCCCACTCCTAGCTATAAATATCTGCAACACAGAATAATACATAACTGCTTTAGAAAATTAACTTTGTACTTGAAGGTCAGTAGTATAAAAAAATAGTTAGCACAAACAAGAAGACATTGCAATTTGGGCTTGTTTTGTGCTATTTTATCTACTACAATTACCTGTATTTCAAGCTATGGACATCGATTAATCCCCAGTAATGTGGGTCCTTTGCATATATAATCTACTTTATATTTTTCACGCTTGGGGCACAATGCTTTTGGAGGTCAAGAAATATATTAGATTTAGAGAGAGAGAGAGAGAGAGAGAGAGAGAGAAGGATCATCAATTCATTGGTGATTAGACTACAAGCAACTAAATCTTAGAGCATTCACTTACTCACAACAGACGCATGTGTGCGCTCACACACACACACACACACACAATCATATGTATGAACTCAACTCAGAAGTCTGTCTCAATTACTTGGGGTCAGCTACATGGATTCATTTCACCCAGTTGGTTCTATACATGGTCATATCTTCAATCAAATTTAAAATAGTCATGTTGTTTCCTATTACATCAACCCAAGTTCACATAGGTCTTCCTCTATTTCTTTTACCACCCTCCACATGGATCATATCACTATAGGTGTGTGAATTGTCCATGACTATATTATCTAAAATGATTTTCCCTCAATTTATTTAATTAGTGTCATTTTTAACTTACTTATTAATAGATTCATTTTATATTTAATTTTCCTTGTAACATTGCTAATCCATCTCAACATTTTCATTTCAGCTGCACTCATTCCATCTTACATTATTTGTTAAACGTCCAACATTCAATATATACAATATAGCAGGTCCATAGCAATCTTATACAAATTTTCCTTCAACTTAAAAGGAACCTATGATCACATGACACTCTGATGCACTCCATTTCATTCATCCTATCCTAGTTTTATGGCCTCATCCTCAATTTCTCAATCATTATGAATAATTGACCCATCAAGTTTTGCTCTACATCTTTACCTTCATCCTTTCTTCTAGTTTTACTGAAGTTACACTACATATATTTGTATTACTTCTACCTAATCTAAACCCTTCAGTTTATAAAGCATCTCTCCACAATTCTGGCTTAAAGTTACTCTTCTTGCTTTGTCAACTAAAACTATATCATCTACATACAAATAATACACACTAAGGAATATTCTCTTGAATGTTCCTAGTACATTCACTCATAATAACTAAAGGTAAAGACATAGTGTTGATTCTTGAAGTAAAATTATAGTTATTGGAAACTCACTTGTTTCTCTTCCACCTCTTCTCACACTGGTCACAGTTCCATCTTACATATTTTTAATTCAATCAATATATCTAACTGATGCTCATTTCTTTTCCAAAACTCTCTGCATTATCTCTCTAAAAATATCATCATATGTTTTTTTTTTTTTGAAAGACAATACATACCATATAACGCTATATCTAGTTGGAGAATTTGAAAAGGGATTTGAAAAGGAAAAGAGAAAAGACATGTATAATGTAAATACAATATACTTACATTTCACCTAATTTCACACACTTTTTCTTTTTTCATTTTTAGATCCCTCTCCAAATCCTCCAGCCAAACACAACGTTAAAGGTCTTTAGATTTCTTCCTATATTTTTCGGTCAGTCGCCTAAGTAGAACAAAAGCCGTCATATTAATTCTCTGAGACATAAAACTACATTGATTTTCTGAACTGCCATCTCATCTTTTAACCTCTCAATTACTCTCTCCCAAAGTTTCATTGTGTGACTCATGTTTAAAGCTAAAATAATTATTGTAGTTTTGAATATCACCTTAGCTCTTGGAACTAATGTACTTTTACTGCATTCATCATGCAATTTCTTAGAATTGAAGATCTTGTTAAACAAATTAGTCAACCAAACTGGTTACCTATAAACTTCAGTGGGAATTTCATCTAGTCCTGTGAAAGAATTTAGAGGTCCTTACGTGTAGGTCCTAATAAGTAGACTTATTGTCTAATAGGTCCTATGAGAAAAATTTGTCATAAAAAAACGTCACTAATTGTAAGTTTCAGCGACAATTTATAACAATCATGATAAAAAAAAGTTGTTAATTGTCAATTTTTAGCGACATATATAAAAAATTGTCACAAAAAAATTATTTTTAGCGACAATTTTATCAAGATTTATTTTCAATAGAACTTTATGAGAATTAAGTCCAACTATTAGGACCTATGGGTAGTTTACCCAAGAAGGAATTTATAATTAACATTACTATTAGAGTTATCAAGCTCTCCTAAACTCAAGCTTCTTGAGTTTAATTTCATTTTCTTTAATTAACACCCCCTTGTCTCCACCCATAATACACCCAATACACAATTATATATATCTTCCAACTTTAATCAAACCATAAAAAAATGTATAATGATGAAAAAGTTGCAACTCGGTAAATGATATGAATGATATACAACCCAGCAAATGATATGGCATCAAAATTTCCACTTTAACCAAACCAGCAAATGAAAAAAATGAAGAAAAGAGAAAAGGAATGAACAGTACTCAAAGAAGCAAATTCATACTGGCAGCATACAAGTTGAAAATTAATCTCTGTAGATGTGAACCAAATTCAACCATGACCATTAGGTGCAACATACATGTCATTACACAGGCAAGTGAAGCAACATATTCAACCAACAGCTAGTACTTGGCATTCATCGTTACAAGTTAGATGTAAAGATATCACCAAAAGTTATTCTTCCACTGCATGTGAAAGTGAACCATACAAACAACAAACACCCTCTGATAAAATTTCCTAAATAAAGATGCAAACATAAGATTCTCACTGTGTGCCACAAAAGAGCTCCTATAAAAGGCAAATGGAGGGAAACCTATCTCTCCCTACCACGGCCTTGACATAAATTTCCCATCTTGCATACAACGCCTAGTGGAAGGGCAGTAAACACAACAGGTTAAGATCATCATCACCTTTCACAAGTTGCATAGAACCCTAATCCCTAGCTGTCTGATACAACTAAAACAATTATTGTTCGACACTAAAAATTTAATGAATCAGGAAGAACTAGAAGCCTGGGCGTGGAAATCATCACAAGTATTATAACATCTTTTTGAACCCAGCTCACAAGTGCTCATTAATATACTACAACATAATCTCCAGCTGAGCCAGATGAACAAGCAGTCAGTAATTTGGACACAAATCTAAAAGGACCTGAATTTAAAATTATGAGGATAATCCTCCTAAGTCATACATGTAAAGAGAGAGAGATCCAGTACAAACCCTCTACGCATGTTGACGTTTCACTTTACTTCCAGCCAATGCTGATAGTATTACACAGTTTATATAGAAAAAAGGGGGAAATTGGATTTAGCCAAACTTTCAATAACAACAGCATAAAAGAAACTAATATTACTATCAAAAGCTTATATCTCATCACAGTAATACTCTGTTCTACAAGTAAAAAAGACATTTTCTTATCATTAGTTCAACATCTAAACACCATTATAGTCTGAATCTACACAAATATACACAATTACTTAGCAATGTAACAGTTCTTGAGACACCAATTAAACACTTTAAATTCCTAAACCATGTGGACATTCACCCAAAAGAAAACGCTCTTAGTCATCAAGATGAAAACTTCATGCATTATTTTCATTAAATTGAGTTACTGATTCAACAATTTTATCCACCTTTTTTTTTTCCCTGTAGCGTGTTTTTAATCTAAGCAAAATGATACTGAAAACCACCAATTAACATCAAAATTGATCACAATAATGATTGTTTAATTTGGAAGCAAGAGATCTCTCACCATTCGAACCCGACCGCTTGGCTTGCTTAATCTTCTCAAGCTGAACCTGAGTGTCCATGAACAGCTGCATCCTCTGAACCTCCAAATCTTTAGCGAATTGCATCCTCTGCTTCTCCAATTCAATCATCTGCCTCTGCTTCTCCCCTTCAATCCTCTCATACATCTCTCCTAACTTCTCAATCGCCCTAGCCAGCCGCCTCATTCCTTCCGCCTCCCCATTCCTCCGCCCTCCGGTCTCCTCGCTAGACCCCAAATCCTCCGATCTATCCTCCTCCTCCTCCTCAGCCGCCGCCGCCGCAGCAACAGCCGAGTAATTCCTCCTAAAGTACGAATCATCCACCGCCGGAGACGGCCGTTTCTGCGGAAGCACCACCGGCTGCACCACCATACCCCCCGGCGGCTTCCGGCACGCCAAAGGAACAGCCAACGGCGGCGGAAGCGGAATCGGAATCGGAGCCTTTTTGGCCGCGGTGACTGCAGATCCGATCAAGCAATCGAGGCGGGAAAAGAAGGACCACGAGCTGGTGACCGATCCGTTGGATTCAGAAACCCTAGCTTTCTCGACCTTATACTTTTTCTTGAGAGTGTCGATGCGGTTCTTGCACTGAACGTCGGTGCGGCGGGCCTTCTTGGTGTGGCCGTGGCGGAGATTGACGGCGTCGGCCACCTCCTGCCAGTCCTTCTGACGGAGGTTGCCGCGGTTGAGCTCGAGATAGCGGCGGCCCCAAGCGTCGACGAGAGTGGATGTTGCTTCCTCGCTCCAGCAGTCTTCGCGGAAAGGTAATGGCCGGGAGGGCGGTGGTTGGGGGGTTGAGAATTGTAATTCAGCCATCGGAGATGGTGGTGGTAGTGGTGGTGAGAAAAGGGAGAAGAAGAGAGAGAAGGAAGGGGAAAGGAGCGGCGATGAGACGCCGGTTGACGAGAGAGAAGCGTGAGGGACATGATGTGTGGGGGGGGGTGTAGGTGGGTGGGGGTATTGAGAGAAGTGTACGGAGAGAGATGGGGTGACTGACTCGGTGAGGTCGCCGGGGCCAGAGAGAGAGAGAGATAGTGAGAGAGGGTCGCGACGAAAACGCCAAGGATGGGTTGCGTCAGAGGGACTAGGGGCTAGGGAGTTTGGTTTGATTTGATTTGGTTGGGCCTGGGTTTGGTTTGGTTTTTTTTTTTTCAACATATGGTTATGTTTCCTTCGGTTAGGTATGTTGGCTTTATCTAAGAAGTTAGTTATTTTAAGCGCTTGTTTGGTAAGTTTAAAATAATTAAAAAAATTAAAAAGTTATACAAAAAATAAAAATGTCATTATTATTCATAAATAAAAAATATTAAAAAAATATTTTATATATTTTTATAATAAAAAAGTTTGATGACTGTTGTCAGTTGCACTTGTGAAGTAAGAAGACCATTATATACTTTTTTGGCCGGAAAAAAAAATTACATACGTAAAGCTATAAAGTTTGATGGGTTGTCAGTTGCACTTGTGAAGTAAGAAGACCATTATATACTTTTTTGGCCAAAAAAAAAAATTACATATGTAAAGCTATAAAGTTTGATGGTAATGTTGGGCCTTTAGAGGCCCACTAAGGGTTCCGTTTTGATAATCTGAACCGTTCAATATGTAGAACTCGTCGAATAATATATGTTTGTAAAAAATCACGTTGATCGAGTATCGTTAACTATATGATCAAATCAGTTTTGTATAAACAAAACGGATGGTGTGATAGTTAACTGTTGAAAAAAATTAATCCGATCATATAGCTATCGATATCCGATCAATGTGATTTTTTACAAACATATAATACTCGACGAGTTGTACATATTGAACGGTTCAGATTATTAAAATGGGACCCATGGTGGCCCACACGGACTGACCATCACTGTCTAAATACTTTGTCCCGAAGAAGGCAATTATTTTCTGGGTAAGACATGCTGGGACTGCAGGGCAGCCGTACAACCACTCAACTTTCTTCTACTATACACTTTATTTATACAATTTTAATTATACATTTTTTCGTAAAAAAATAAAAAATTAACCCAAACATCTATCTTTTTTTTTCTTAACTTTTTAGTTCAAAAAGATAAAAAGTGCACTTATTTAGGACCAAGGTTCTAAATATCGGCCGGTACGTGCCGTACCGACCGGTTCGTAACGGAAAATGAGAGTGACGAGTCGGATACTCACCGATATACCGGTGAGAACGAATTTCACGTCCGTAGCGGCCGATTCCCGACATGTATCGGCTTGTATCCGATACGTGAGCGTTCCAGTTCCGATATAGTCCGATTCGGCTGAAAAACGAGCAAAGCATATGGAAAAATAATTGAGGAAAGCAAGCCACATGGAAAAGCAAATCACCTGGAGAAGCAAATCACCTGGAGAAGCATCGAATCGGACCAAACCTCAAACCCAAATCAAACCCAATCGGACCAAACTCAACTCGGACCAAACTCAACTCAACTTCCCAAAGTTTTCCCTTAATCGGACCAAACTCAACTCCCCAATCAAACCCAAATCCATCTCCTAGGGGCATCGATCTTGTAAAGTGTTACAAGGAGAAACATCGAATCGAACCCAAACCATCACCGATTTCAAGCTTCTTCATTGAAGGTTTTTTTCTCATGCTCTGTTTACATTTGTTTCGTGCTCTGTTTTTTGTTTTTTGCTTTGGCTGAACAATTCTTCAAATGGCCAAATCCATCTCCTAGGGGCATCGATCTTGTAAAGTGTTGCAAGGAGAAACATCGAATCGAACCCAAACCATCACCGATTTCAAGCTTCTTCATTGAAGGTTTTTTTCTCATGCTCTGTTTACATTTGTTTCGTGCTTTGTTTTTTGTTTTTTGTTTTTTGCTTTGGCTGAACAATTCTTCAAATGGTTTTGCTTCTGTTGGGTTTGTTTATATTATATTATGTAATATTATATTATTTTATGGTTCTGCTTCTTCAAGTGGTTTTGCTTCTGTCTGGTTTGCTTCTGTTCGATTTGTTTATGTTAGATTATGTTATTTTTTTTCTTCTTCAAATGGTTTGTTTATATTATATTATGTTATTCTTTTCTTTTCTCTATGGTTATTTTTTTATTTATATTATGGTATGGGATGGTTTTGCTTGGTAAGTTGCATTTGGTTTGTTTATAATTTATTTATTTTTCTAGTTAGTTGTTTATAATGTTTATAATTTGTTTGCTTGGTAAGTTGTGTTTGGTTATTTTTTTATTTATATTATGGTATGGGATGGTTTTTTTCTTGATTTTTTTTAAATAACCAAACTATATATAATAAAATATTAATAATACAAATAAAAAAATTTAACAGCTTTTGTTTGCTTGATGGGGGATGAGACTAGAGTCACCCTGATTATTGATTGAAAGTGCATTAAAATAGATCAAAAAAACAAATAAATAAAATAAATTAGTTAATTAAGGCTAAAATAAATACATATCATTTAGTTGAAAATGAGTCAAAAGTGCCTTTACATATCAAAATTTTGATTAAAATGTGATAAATTAAGGCTAAAAGAGTGAAAAAATACATAAAATTGAGTTTTAGAGGGATTGTGAATGATTTTTGAAATTTCACAGCCTCGACGCCCGATACCCGATACGTACCGGTCGATACTGTAGCAGCCCTCACCTTACTCTTGTCATACTTGCATACATCATGCATGATCTTTCCTTGTTATGCTATTTTGCTAGTTTTGCCTTGCCTCGTTTTGGCTAAGTATTGCTTGCATGATTTTGTTCTTTGCTCGGCGTGTAGCCGAGGTCATCTTGAGATTTGACCAACCCTGAACCTTTGTACTTTGAAATATTGTGGAACCGCTTGGTCGATACCATCTTCACCTCGGGCATGTTGCCGAGATGTTCTGCACTTAGTGAACCTTGTCCGCAGGCAGGTATGGCCTAGGCCGAGATGTGGCACACCCCGGCCGAGGTGTGGCACAGCTTAGTCAAGTGTCGTCCTCCCTAGCCGATGTCCTTGTTGTCCTATTGCCGAAGCTTTGACTTTAGCCGATGTCATTACTTGCCGATGTGCTTTGCCCTAGCTTGCCGCATACGCTTTGTCAGAGACTTGTCTTATCTATCAATCACCTTTTTGAGTTGGGTCAACCCGGTAGCACCACGTGCCCGAGCTGATTGTTAAGACAGCCGGCAGGCCTAGAAACAAATCATTTCTTTGTCTCAAATCTTTGCCTTAGAGAGAGAAGCTCTAGGGAGAAGGAAGAGAAGTTCTTGAGTGAGAGTAAGTCTTCCAAGCTTGATCTTCGTGGTTTGATCCGTTGGATCCGAGTTTTGAGGTAAGAACCTTGATCTACTTTGATTGTTGATATTGATCATCTAGCTGCATTGCATGATCGAATCTGTTTTACATGTCATGCATCGATTTGAAGTTGGTTTCGGAAGAAAAAGATAGTGTTCATGTGTTTTGAAGAAAAGTCTCGTTTTGATCCAAAAGTTGGAACCGAAACCATGTTGTTTTTATGTTTGTTCTTGCATGACCTTCTTGTATGGGTACCCAGGTCCATGTTTTGAACTCTTGGCTTGAAAACTCAGATTTTTGTAACAAGTTGTGAGCTTGCATCCATCTCCAAACGATCTTGTTCTTCATATTCTTCAAAGGGAAACCCAGGTTTTCCCGCTTTGTTTTGATGAAGCCCTCGGGACCACACCTCAGCAAGGATGTGTGGGACCTCGGCAAAGGCCTGGTTGGTACCCAGTGTGTTTTCATGAGACGGGAGCAATGTTTAAACTCCCAGCATGTGTTGCTTTGTTATTTACGTGGATCTGATAAGAATGCCGAGATCATTCGCATATGCATATAAGGCTTGTTTTGAGAATATGATTTGCCATGTGATTGTAGGACCTTGATCCTTGCTTTGAGCCTACACCTGAAGAACTAGGTGAGTGGTGCTTTTAATAAAGCTATGTTACACTGTTTTGATAAGTCTTGCTTTGCTTGTTTTGATGAAAGTATTTGCTAAGCATGAATGAATAGCCCTGTTTTGATGTATCAAGTATAAGCCTTGTTTTGATGTCATCCTTGAAAAGTCCCTTGTACTGGAGGACTTTAAACTTTCGCAGTACCAAGTACAAAAGTCCCTCGTGCTGGAGGACTCTAAACTTTCGCAGCACTAAGTATAAAAGGATACGGTCCTTTCTTGGAGCACTATAATGTTAAATCGGGCTACGGGCCTAAGTAACACAAGTGCCATAATGTTAAATCGGGCTACGGGCCTAAGTAACACAAGTGCCATAATGTTAAATCAGGCTACGGGCCTAAGTAACACCAGATCATCGTGTTAAAAGGAGCTACGGGCTTAAGTAACACAAGTCCCTTGTGCTGGGACTATAAACTTTCGCAGTACCTTTGACTCAACGATTACGGATCGTACAGTCCTTGTTTTGCCACTGGCGATTTACCGCGTGGATTTGCTTGTTTTGATAAGCTTGATTTATGTTTTGCCGATGTAAGTAAGCATCCCTTGAGACTTGTGAGATTTGATTGATGAATACGGTTCATCCCTTGTTTTGCCGATGTAAGTAAGCATCCCTTGAGACTTGTGAGATTTGATTGATGAATACGGTTCATCCCTTGTTTGATAGAGTTTGATGTGTTTTGCTCTGGAGGAATCTCGGCTAATATCTGTATAGTTTTGGCGTGTTGTTTTGAAAGAATTCGGCTATATTCATGCAAAAAACCTTTATTTTTAGTACCATTCACTGAGTATCCAAGCCTCACCCCTCTATATATATGTAGGTGATGAGCAGGACGTCGGCGACGCCTAGAATGTGTTTTGAAAGCTTGTTTTGGATCCATGATTATGTCGGCGTTATTTTGTATTCACGTCGGCAATTCTTGAAAATTATGCTTCTTGGCTTGTACTCACTGTATTTTGTATATGTCGGCTCGAGAAGCCTTTTGATCAAGACGTAACACATATTTTGCTTTTGTTGTATTCAAGTTTATCAAGATGTATGCCATTACATTGGATCTATGCACTGCTCTTATGGACCACTTGTATTTTTGATTTATTGCTTCCGCATTTGAGAGCCCCGTTTATT